CTTTCCTGCCGGGGGCGGGGGGTTCTCTTCTCCAATGGCCTGCCTTGTGCACAGGGACGCGTATCCCACGTGTGAAGTGGTGGACGTACAGTTGTGCTACGACGTGGCCAGGCTGATTCACCTGTGCAGGGAGAGGTGAGCGGGGCTGGTCAGCGGCCGGAAGCCTGGCCCTCCCTCCTGGGCCGCCCACCCTGCTGCCTCGCTGCTGGCGGGGGGCCTGGGCGGAGCCCCCAGGGGGAAGGCAGGAGGGGGGCTCTGCCCCTTTCTTGTTTGGAAAGCTGACCCCCTGGGGCGCCGGGGGGGGGGGGCTCAGTCGGTTAAGCGTCCGACCCTTGGTTTCGGATTGGTTCATGAGTTCGAGACCCGCGTCGGGCTCCGCTTGGGCAGCGCGGATCCTGCTTGGGATTCTCTCTCCCCTGCTCTCCGCCCCTCCCCGGCTTGCGCGCGCTCTCTCTCTCTCTCTCAAAATAAACTTAAAAAAAGAAAGCTGAGCTCCTGGGCCTGGCGGTTGGACAGTGGGCGTGGGGTCTGTGCCGCAGGGTTATGGTGACTCTGACGTGTGTCCCCCTACCCCCACCCCTGCAGGAAGAAGACAGAAAAGAGCCTGACCTATTACACGAACCTGCGGGCAAAGACAGGCCAGTGGACCCTCATCAACCCCAGGCCCTGCGGCCAGTTCTGCTGTTGCAAAGTGCCGGGGTGCGAGTGGGTGAGGGCCCGGCCCCCCGCGGGAGTGCCACGGGGTCCCCGCCGCCCACGCAGGGCCCGTGGTCACGAGGGGGTGTGTGTCCTCAGGAGGATGCCGTCTCCTACTACGCGCGCATGAGGGACAGGCTGCTGGAGAGGATCGCGGACGAGGAGCGCCGGGTGCAGGAGCAGCCCCTGGGCATGGCCTTCGTCACCTTCCAGGAGAAGTCCATGGCCACCTAGTGAGTGGGGCGCGTCCGGGGCCCTTTGTCCCCTCCAGGTGACTTGGGACCCGCCCCTGGGATGGGCTGGGGCTGGGGCAGGCCACACTCCCCCCATCATCCCAGCCCGGGTGCGTGTGACACACGCGGGGTGATGCTCGCGCGAGGTGAGTCCCTCGTGGGTTGACGTGGCCTCACCCCCGGTCCGAGCTCCCACCAGCCGTGCCAGGGAAGGCATCCAGCATTCTGCCACCCCCCTTCAGATGTCCACTCTGGACCGCAGATGATTTTCTGTGCTGGGCTTTCCATCGCACAGACGCACAGACCCCAGGCACTGGGAGTCTCCCTGCTGCAGAGCTGGGGGCCCCGGGGCCAGGCTGCGGAGCGCACGTGGGCCCCAGCACGGGGCTCTGGCTCCTGGAGTGGCGTCACGCCTGGGGTGGGGGACGCAGGCGGCCACACAAGTGCCCCTTCCCTGCCCTCTCTGTGGGCACCGCACACCTGGGAAAAGTCCCCTGCAGCCAGGCCAGAGCCAGGAGGGGCTCGTGGAAAGGGGGGCGTGCTGAGGCAGGAGTGAGGGGCGTGGACATGGCGGGGGTCCAGGTGGCAGTCCGGGGGGGGCCCTGGGCGTCAGGGTGGGAAGAAGTGAGGACAGCGAGGCCCTGGCCCGGCCACGCGGTGTGTCTGTGGCCCCGGCTTCCTGGGCGGCCGGGGGTGATGATGGCACAGGGAGCAGCCGTGGTCCAGGGGTGCAGCGGCCAGACGGGGTGCGCACCTGAGCCGGAGAGCCTCGGGATCCTGACGTGGAGGCAGGAGTGACCCCCGGCTTGCCGCGTGGTCCTGAGGATGAGACCAAGTCCTCCCCGTGAGCCGTAGCAACGGCTAACCTAGCAACCCGCTGATAGAGCAACAGCCTGGGGCCCCGCGGCGCCCGCCCTCACTGGGTCCTCTGTGCGCGTGTGCGCGGTGCCCCTGGTGCCTGGGCCACGGCCACGTCTGCTCTTCCTTCCTGGCAGCATCCTCAGAGACTTCAACGCCTGCAAGTGTCAGAGCCTCTGGTGCAAAGGCGAGCCCCAGCCGTCCTCCTGCAGCGCGGAGCTCCGTATCTCCAAGTGGACGGTCTCCTTTGCCACGTACCCCGAGGACATCTGCTGGTGAGGCCCCGGCCCTGGACCGGTGAGCGGGGAGGGGCCCCAGGCCGGGCATCACAGGTGCGAGCTGGCCTTCAGGGCCCCCCACCATAGCTCCTGGCTCCCCTCTGGGCCTGGGGCGGGCGTGGGGGGGATGCGTCAGGGGGGGGGGGGGGGCGTCCACACCTGGCACTGCCATCCAGTGATGCCCCCCGGCATCCAGTGTGTCCGGGAGCCACGTCTATAGTTTCCAGTTTCCTTTCGGCCGCGTTGAAAAAGTAAAAGGAAACTGTTCAACTTAATTTTCATAATCTCTCTCTCCCTATATATCCGAAATATTATCGCTCTAACGTGATCAGTTACCTTCCAGTGGAGACGCGTCTCTTTTTCATACTTAGTAGCCCTGAAGTCCGGCGTGTATGTTCTCTTGAGTCGGACCAGCCCCGGTTCAGGGCTCGGTAGCCCCTGGCTGCTGTATCGTGTGGTGTTAGGTCTAGCCCGGGGACACGCTGCTGAGCTCGGCCGCGTCCACAGGGGCCGTTGGTGAGCCTTGAGCACAGTGCCGGGGGTGAGGGCAGCCCCAGCAGAGCCCCCGGCATGGCTGGCCCCAGCTCCCCGCCCAGAGCGAGCTTTGGGAGCATCTCCATGGCTCCGAGCTGGCCTCTGATGGTTCACAGGGCTTCCCAAACGTGGGCGCAGCGTGCTGCTGTGTTCTCGGTGGGGTGAGACGCCAGCATGGCCGCCGTGGGGCCTGGGCACTGCTGTCCCCTCCCTCCCTCCCCCTGCGTGCACCCAGCCCCCGGCCCCGTGTCGCTGGTCACCAGTCCTTGCGGACATGGCCGTGTCGTAGCCTCGTTCTGTCTGTCTGGGTGACCGTGGAGTCCCTTTGGTGGGTTCTGGCCCCCGGGCTGTGGCCGGGGAGCCGTGTGAGTGGTGGATAACCTGTTTTCCCTCTGAACTCAAGGGGACCCCGCATTTGACCTTGCTGGAGCTGAAGGTTGGTGCAGAGGGCTCACCTGTACTCCTGGGGTCCAAGTGCCTCAGTCTGGTCTCTTGCCGGGCCTTGATGTGACCCGCTGACCCACCTGGGGGCACCGGGGGCGTGGTCGGCAGCCCCGCCTGTGGGGGGGGGTCTCAGCCTCCAAGCCTGTGTCCCTTCCTGCAGGAAGAACCTCTCCGTCCAGGGCTTCCGCTGGTGGCTCCAGTGGCTGGGCATCAACTTCACTCTGTTCGTGGGGCTCTTCTTCCTGACCACCCCCGCCATCATCCTGTCCACCATTGACAAGTTCAATGTCACCAAACCCATCCGTGAGCTCAACGTGAGTGACCACGCTACAAGCCCGTCCTGCAGGGCTGGGGACGAGAAGGCGTGGGGGGGGGGGGAGGGCGGTGGCTGGAGCCCAGGGACGTGGGGGCTGAAACAGGAGCCGTGCCTCTCAGCTCACGTCCGTGCCTTTAGGCCTTGAGCAGGTGTGGCCACATTTATGACACTGGTTTACGACACGCGCGCGCCCGTGCGTGTTTGAGAAATCAATCTGAACGTTCAACGGTAGGGTCATGGAACGGCACATACTGATGGAAAGTTAAGTATCTGTTACATAATCGTCCACTCGTTGATTCTAGATAGGCAACAAATGATTATTTAAAATCTTAGACGAATCGAGACAACGAAACGCTTCCTGAACTGGGCTCTGCTTGAAAACAATATTGGTTTCCCCAGGGCATCTGGGGGCTCAGGCGGTTAAGCGTCCGACTCTTGGTTTTGGCTCAGGTCGTGATCTCACAGTTCGTGAGATCGAGCCCCTGTGTCGGGCTCTGAGCTCATAGCGTGCAGCCTGCTTAGGATTCTCTCTCTCCTGCTCTCTCTCTCTGTCCCTCCCCTGCTCGCTCTTTCAAAATAAATAAATAAACGTAAAAAAATTAAAAAGATACTGATTTCCCATAATTGGCTCTGTTGAAATAGCCCCCTAAATCTTTTTCTTTTTTCTCCAGTTCCACTTGGCATTCATTCAGTCACGCTCAGGGCAAGCACGCGGGGCTAGAAGGCGTGAGGGCCTCGCTGTGCCGTTCCCCAGCTGACCAATTCCGAACCCTTGGTTTTCATCCCAAAGCTGGGGCACCTGCCGGATGATCCTTGTGGGGTTCTGGTGATGGTGACCACATAAGCTGTTGTGTGGCCCAGGCCTTCTTACCCGACTACGTGTATAACAATAATAACCCCTTGCGCACATTAAGAATTTTGTTTATCTTTAAAAGCGTGTCAGTGTTCACGCCTTTGCGCATCTTTGGATGTATGGCCAAGTCTGTTCTTTTGAGGGTGGAATCGGCCGAGTGGAACCCTCTTTGCTGATTCTCTCTAAATCAGTTTCGGTTTCTTATGGTAAAGCAAGAATCTACAGATATTTGCAACACTGTTCTAAGAACAGGACCCTCCTGGATCTCATTCCGTCCGTTTTCTACAGTTCATTTACTCTAGTCTCATTCAGTAGCATTAAAAAAAATGTTTTTAATGTTTATTTTGTTTTCGAGAGAGAGAGAGAGAGAGAGAGAGAGAGAGAGAGAGACAGAGTGCGAGCAGGGGAGGGGCAGAGAGAGAGGGAGACACAGAGTCTGAAGCAGGCCCCAGGCCGAGCTGTCCGCACAGAGCCCGACGCGGGGCTCAAACCCACAAACCGCGAGATCGTGACAAAGTCGGATGTTTAACCAACTGAACAACCCAGGCGCCCCTCAATAGCACTTTTCAAATTTTTTCTTCGAGAGCGTGCACGGGTGGGGGTGGGGGAGGGGCAGAGGGCAAGAGAGAGAGAGACAGAGAATCTCAGGGAGACTCCAGGCTTAGTGCAGAGCCTGACATGGGGCTCGATCCCACGACCCTGGGATCATGACCTGAGCCGAAGTCGGACGCCCAACCGACTGAGCCGCCCAGGCGCCCCAGTACGCAGCTTTTTAAAAATGCCCGTTTTATCAGGGAAAGCAGGCACCTCGTGTGATTGCAATAGTGAGCATATCAGGCACAGGCGGAGTTAGGTCACTGCTGGGCGGGAGGGAGCTGAGCGGGCAGGCCTCCTGGGTTCCGTGTTCCCACTTGCCCTTGGTTGCGCAGAGGGCAGCCGGCGGTGGGGGTAGGGGGGCGCGGTCGCTCTGGGCAGTCAGACAGGTGGAGATCGGTTGTATGTGAAGTTACTTTCTCTGCTCAACCAGCCCTACTAACACCGAGCGCCATTCTGGTCTGTTCGGCCAACGGCACGGGACACCTGCTCTGTATGGGGCACAGTGTCGGCTCCGGGGGGCAAGGCAAGGGCCATCGGGAGTTCCCGGAGTTGCCGTGACAGCAGGTCGTGGCCTCCAAGCCCCCATGGCCACAGCCCCTCCACCTGTGTCTTCTGTGGGCCGTGTTTTGCAGGACCCGGTCATCAGTCAGTTTTTCCCGACCCTCCTCCTGTGGTCCTTCTCGGCCCTGCTCCCCACCATCGTCTACTACTCCACGCTGCTGGAGTCTCACTGGACCAAGTGAGTGAGGACGCTTGCCCGACGGCGTCCGTGGGCACCCAGCGGGGGTCTTGGGGGGGCACCGGGCAGGGCTCACCTCTGACTTCCTGCAGGTCAGGAGAAAATGAGATCATGATGTCCAAGGTCTATATATTCTTGATCTTCATGGTGTTGATCCTGCCGTCCCTCGGCCTCACCAGGTACGCGTCGTCACCTCCTGCCCTGAGTTCACAGTCAGGGTCTGGACGGCTCCGTCCCCAAGTGGTTTTAGAGGATGCAGATCCCTGACGACACTTAAGCTGGTCCCTCCCACTTGGGGTGCCGTTGGGCGGCAGGCTCACGGATCGTTCTGGAGATCCAATCTCTCTTCTTTAAAAAGAAGCTTGAAGACAACATTTCCGCTCAGGGGGAGGGTCGAGTCACGGCTGTGTTGATTTTAAGGGAGGGGGCCGCCGTTGGAGCAGCCCCTCATTGGCTGCTCTGGAGTGGGGGGCACCTTAGACGACAGATGGGGTCCTGATGTCCCGCCTGCTGGTGAGAGCAGGGAAGAATGAAAACTGGTCGCGATCACCTGGAGGGCTGGACATAAATTCTTACGGGATTCATTTTTCTTCCAGTCTGGACTTTTTCTTCCGGTGGCTCTTTGACAAAACTTCCTCCGAAGCCTCTATCAGGTTGGAGTAAGTATGGGCCACGTTGCGTTTTGGAGCCGCGGTCCCGGGGAGAGGTCCCCCGGGGGCTCGGCCGTGGCTGCGCTGGGGCTGGGGGCGCGGCGGCCTGTGCCCGGCACAGACGTCTCCTCCTGAGGCCATCGGGGCCGGGGAAGCCCCGGGCGCCTGGCAGGGCTGAGGCCGCCCTGTGGGAGCTGACCCGCTTTGTGCCATGTGTGCAGAAGTGTGGTTAATCTTTTAGGCTGAAACTCAATCAGGGGCAGTCTTGTTCATTCTTGGAAACTCACTTACTTACTGAGAACGGTGCCGCTCGGGGAGAGGGAACCCGTGGGTCCCAGTGGTGCGGGGGAGGTGGGGGTGGGGACGGCCGCGCGGCTGTGTGGTTGGGCCTGGGCCCTGTTTACCCCGGAGAACAGAATTAAACCTGTCTCTGGGATGTGTCCCCCTGAGAGGGCGTTGCGGGCTAAATGCTTTATTCTTTTTCTCGTTGAACCTTTACGACAAGCTGTGGGGGTAGGCGCCATTGTTTCTCCATTTTATGGATGGGGAGACTGAGGCTCAGAGATGTTGGAATAGCTTGCCCTGGGCCACCCAGCCCGTTAACTTGGCCTGAGCCCCGACTGCCCTACCCTTTGGGCCCTGATACCGGCCCCCAGCCTTGGCATTGACTCGTCCAACCCAGGGTTGGTAGGAAGGCTGGCCGAGTTTCCTGGGAAGATTAGACCGAATTATTCCACGTGGGTTCTTGCTGGTCAGGCTGAGGGCTCGGGGGCTGGCGGCCACAGGCGGGCACCCACACACCCGGCCAGCTCCCGTCTTGGTGGACCGTGGCTTCCAGATGGCCAGATCCGGCCCTCAGGGCTCGGCCCTCACTTTCACGAACCGTCAGCCACGTCTGACACATCGTCACGCCTTCGTCCGCGAAGGCTCCAGGATGGCCCTGTCCTGGTTCTCTCCCCCTCGCGGGTTCTCCTGCATCTCCCCGACGCCAGTGGCCCTGCTCTCAGTGACCTCAGCTGGACCCCAGCCTTCGTGCCCCCGTGCTCCCGAGTTGGAGCCTGCAGGCCCCGTGCACCCGCAGCCCTGCGCCCAGGGCTGCCCACGAGTGGCTGCTCCAGCCGAGGGGCCCTGGGGCCCTCCGTGCCCTCCCCCGCTGCACCTGGTCCACCAGCCTCTCCGGTCGCCCCGCCTCACCGATGCCAGCGGCCACTCCTGTGCAGCCCCAGCCCTCCCTGCACACGTGCCCTGCCTCCCCCTGGCCCGCGGCCCCCCTGCCCTGTCGGTGCCCTCCTGCTCCATGAGCACGGGTCTCACCTCCTTAGGCCTCTCTGGCGGCCCGTGTAACAGGGGGAACATCGTCCCTCGTCTGCTCCGGTTCCTCCGAGCACACGTCACATCTGGCACGCTGTGTGTCCCCTTCGCTGGGATGCAGGCTCCCACGGAGCAGGGCAGGGGCAGGGGTAGGGCAGAGGCAGGGGCGGGGCCCCCCTTTCATCTCTGAGCCCGGAACACGGAGCGAGCGTCCACACCAAATGCAGGGGCTCACCTCCCCGGGGCGGGAAAGAGGCTCACAGCCCGGCCGCCCCCCAGGTGCGTCTTCCTGCCCGACCAGGGCGCCTTCTTTGTGAACTACGTCATCGCCTCGGCCTTCATTGGCAACGGCATGGAGCTGCTGCGGCTGCCGGGCCTGGTCCTCTACACCTGCCGCATGGTCGTGGCCAAGACGGCCGCCGACCGCAGGAACATCAAGCAGGTACACCCTGCCCCCCTCCACGGGGCCGGTGATCACCCAGGAGGCGCGTCCTGGCGGGGGGGGGGGGAACGCACTCTGCACCTGTCCTCTGCGTAGACGCGGGACTCTCGGGCCTGCTGCGTAGACCCGATTGGAGCAAGGGAAACACTGAGAGAACGAGACTCCTTTACCCCCGGCGCGGCCTGGGTGTGAGGCGAGCAGGGCCGGAGAGGTCCGTGCAGACGGCACCCGGGGAGGGCCGGAGAGGTCCGTGGGGCAGGGGGCAGCCATGAGCCTCCCATCTCCAAAGTCCTCCCCTTAAGGCCCCTGTGGCGTGGGCGGGAGGCGTCTGGAGCAAACCCTGCGCTCTGCCCTCTCGGCACAGAACCAGGCCTTCCAGTACGAGTTCGGAGCCATGTACGCGTGGATGCTGTGCGTCTTCACCGTCATCATGGCCTACAGCATCACTTGCCCCATCATCGCGCCCTTCGGTGAGTGTGGCCCCCGGGGGCGGTGGCTGACCCCTCGGGGCACCCTAGGGGTGCCCCCCGCACACTGAGGACTTCTGCAGCGCCCGGGAGCCACAGGGACACCCCTGGTCCTGCTGGCCATCCCTGGTGGCGCCCTGATCCCAGGGTCCGGGAGCTACTGCCTGGCTCGTGGATGACTGCGCTGCGGGGCAGACATGCTCTGAATGTGTGTGCTCCGCGGGTTGTCCCTCGTACCGCTCGCCGCATCTCGTTTGTGGCCCCTTTCACACTCAGCGTGACACGAGTGAGGAGTAGACCCAGGATCTGAGCTGAGGACTGTTTGACTTTAAAGACCGAGGTCTGGCAGCTAAAATAAA